AATATCACACAGTAATCCAATGACCCTGTCACACTTTGAATTGTTATGAATCGTGGCAAAAAAAAACAACCGTAGTAAAAGTACAATATTAAATCGATTGACTAAAGCTCAAGCTATTAAATGTATTCGAATGACCCTGCCTCGCTTCAAATTGTTATAGTAATGAATCGTGGAAAAATCGTAGTAAAAGTACAATATTAAATCGATTTTAGTTATTTAAAGTTTTAGCAGAGGTTTTACGGCGCTCGCAACTGGGACATTTCAGTAACCCACTTTCAGCACTTTTTAAGGACCCCCGAGCAAGTGTTGAGTTCCTTCGTGCTGTCGCATCGCTGACCGTTTATGACGTCACATCGCCAGAAGAAAAATAGAGAGAGAAAAATATGACGAAAACCCAGTGTACGTTATATCACACAGTAATCCAATGACCCTGCCACGCATTGAATTGGTATGAATCGTGCCCCCCCCCCCCAAAAAAAATAAATATTTTTTTAAAAAATAAACCGTAGTAAAAGTTCAATTAGTATTAAATTGATTGGCTAAAGCTCAAGCTATATTATATGTATTCGAATGACTCTGCCATGCTTCAAATTGTTATAGTGATGAATCATGGAAAAAATCGTAGTAAAAGTACAACATTAAATCGATTTTAGTTTTTTTTATAGTTTTAGTAGAGAGTCGCAACTTCATAAGGTCATATGAGCGCCAGAAGATTAGAGCTGTTACAAGAGAGAGACTGCCCGAGAGTAACAAACATAAAAAAGAAGAAGGGGAGATAAGGACGATATAGATGTTTGATAGGAAAGAAGAAGCAAACCACACCAGAGCACAGGCCAACCACCCGCTTAAATCGATTGGGTACAGCTCTAGCTATTACATGTACTCGCTACCAACCCAGTTCGTTCTGTTTATGCAGATCGGGTTCATTTGGTAAAGGCTATTGTTAAGGGACGGTACGCCCCAATAGCGCGTGGCGCTAGGGGACCGTACGCCCCAATAGCGCGTGGCGCTTGGGGATCGTACGCCCCCATAGTGTTTGGCGCTAGGGGACCGTACGCCCCTATAGTGTTTGGCGCTAGGGGACCGTACGTCCTGCCTGCGCTAAGGCGTGGTGTTACGGGACCGTACACAGATATGCATGCATCTGGACTTTGCAAAAATACTGGAGGAAAACGGCCAGTTTAACGAAGCTCCTGACGTAAGGAGTTATTACTAGGAGAACAGATGTATATCAAAGTTTGTGTGCAGACCACAGGTTGCTCGAGACACGTCTGGTGGGTGTATCTGTCAGCGTGAAGAAGGCTGTGAGTATTTTTTAAAAATTTTTTAAAAAGATTTAGTGTCTTTCCTTTCTTTTCTTTTGTTCTAAAAAAATGGGGTGGGGTGGGGTGGGGTGGGGTGGCTGTTGGGGTATGTAAGTGTTTCTACGCCCCCATCGACCCAATTTGGATCAAATATGAGGCAGGCTTCCGACCCTGCCGGTCAGGACCAACCCGGGTTTGGTTGGGTGTGTGTGTGTGTGTGTGTGTGTGTGTGTGTGTGTGTGTGTGTGTGTGTGCGCGTGTGCGCGTGTGTGTGTGTGTGTGTGTGTGTGTGTGTGTGTGTGCGTGTGTGAGTGCGTGTGCGTGTGCGTGTGTATGCGTGTGTGTGTGTGTTTATGTGTATATGTGCGTATGTGTGTGCGTATATGTGGGTGTGCGTGTGAATTTAAGTGTGAATTTGTATGTGAAATTGGAGAAGCTAAAAGAGGAAAAGATATAAAAGAAATTTCTCATGTTTTCGGTCACTGACTAATAATTGTTTCTGCTTCTGAAATGAACTCTACTATATTATTATTCAATTGACTTCCCAGTAAAACTGAAGTTTAGTTATTTTTTATGCTTAAAATAAAGTTTAGTTAGGGCGAGCGTTTGAACATTTCCTCTCTGAATTTTACGGGCTTGGGACCGTTGTACCGAAGTGGGCTGCATTAAAAAGGTTTTTTACTTTCCGAGAGAGAGAGAGAGAGAGAGAGAGAGAGAGAGAGAGAGAGAGAGAGAGAGAGAAAGAGAGAGAGAGAGAGAGAGAGAGAGAGAGAGAGAGAGAGAGAGAGAGAGAGAGAGAGAGCGTTTAGCTATCGTGCTTGTATTTCTGAAGTTTTTGGTTTATCTGACTGAAAAATTTGACAAAACAATGGTTTTAAAAAAGGAAAAAAAAAAAAAAAAAAAACTAAAAAGAAAACATGAACAACTTACTTCTAAATTTACCGGTTTGAAAAAAAAAATTAGTTGCAATAACATACAAACAATTAAGAACTAGTTGGATTGGATTTATTTTGTTTGCGGGGGGGGGGGGGGGGGGGTCTATTCATTTTTATCGTTATCTTTATCGATGCTAGACTGAAACATAAGACATAAAAATGATTTTGAATTTTGAAATATAGATATCTATAAAAAGAAAGAAAAAAGAAGAAAGAAACTGGCCTTCCTTCAAAAGGTACCGGAGTATGGTAAAATGGTTTTCCTCAACTGACGTTAACAAGTCTATTCTCTGGCGACATCCGGTGAGGTCTTGCCTGCCACCTGGTGAAATGCTGAGACAAGGGGGGCAAACTGCGTATGTGGTAACCACGGCAGCTTGCATCAAAGACATGTCAACAGCTCAGCGTCTATTATGTACCGGACTGGCTGGCCGGGAAGTGATTCAAGTTTTCAGTCTGTGGTTACGGCATTGTTGCGCTGTTTTGATAATGTCTTAGAGGGTCGGGAGGTAAGAATCGGAGGCTTGACCTGCCTTATTTATTATTTTTTTCTATTATTATTATTATTAATAATATTATTATTATCATCATCATTAAGGGATTTTTTATATTTTTTTGCTTTTGTTTAATTGTTTGGTTATGGGTTTTTTTCTTTTAGAAAAAAAGTGAGGCCTTTGTTGAATGGGATTTCTAAAACATTTGAATATCGTGTTTTGTTTCTTCGGTGAATAAATAGCAACAGGTCAGGAGCCTCGCGTTTGCAAACACATTTTTCTGAAGTTTGTTTTGTTTGTCGGGCTAAAACATAAGAAAAGGCAATGTTGTTGTTTTTAAATTAAATGAAAAAACAAAAGATAAAACAAAACATAACCAACTTACCCTTAAATTTACCGGTTTGAAAAAAAAAGCGTTTGTCTCAGTAACATACAGATAATTAAGAACTAGTTTTATTTGTCTATTTCTCGCCTGATAGAAACACAAGACAAAGAAATGATTACCCCCTTGGGCGGTGCTACTGACTGAAGGGTCTTTAGGCCATTCCCAAAGACGGAGGACATTAACATCTCGAGTTCTTATGCACAGTAGAATTGTGTAAATGGGTTGATTCATCAATGTCATGCTCATAACGGTGCCTGAAATGCAGCAGGGAACAGCGGCTCTCTCTGTCCTAATTCTTAATATCGTCATTTTCCCTCTACTTCTTATGTATGTTTTGTCACACTCTTGTGACCCGTTATTTCCGGGGTGCCTTGATAGTTGAAGAAGACTTTGTGCTGGTGACGCTAGAGAGGTGAGCAGAATAAGTCTGATTCTCTGTAAGGACTTCTCTGTTCACATCCACCCCTTGACGTTCATATGTCCTTATGCTGTTGCGAGCGCCGTAAAACCTCTGATAAAACAAACAAAAAGAAATGATTTTGAAAAAAACAACCTCAACCAGACTGGACCTGCAAACTTTAACGCGGTCATAAAACAAAACTTATGAAAAGGTTTTGGAGCTAAAAACAATCTCTTTACATAATTGGCTACACATATGAGTCTGTTTTAAGAAAAAATGCATGATTGACCTGGGTAATAACTACTCCCATTCTACATTGAAATAATGAATTCTTTCCATACCAGATGAAGGGAATTAATTCTTTCTACACCACATGGAGAAAATTAACTTTTTCCATACCAGACTGAGGAAATTAACTCTCTCCAAGCAAAACGGTGTACAATTGGTTTGTGGAATAAATTCTTTCCATTCCACATTGAGAGATGTAACTCATTTTTTCGTAATAAAAATTTTAAAAATTAAATTTACCACCAAAAAAAAATAATCATTAAAAAACTATTCAAAGTTTGTCTTTGTCTGTGCCTTTTCTCTCTATTGTTTGTCTCGTTCCATGTTGTCTGCCGATACGATTTTCATCAGAAAAGGTTATAGAAAGTATTTGTGACATATTATCTAAAACAGTCGTACATAGAGAAACGGCAGTAGTCCATATGTACAAATAAATCTAGGCAGTAATCCTAAAACTTTTCCTGTGACCAATGCTTTTTTTTTGCCTTCTTGTATTCTATTGAACTGAGTTATATGTTTTTACCAATATCTCTTTAATTTCTACACATTGGATTATCACGACATGTATGTTCAAAGAGCAGCTGTATTTTTAAGTCAACAAAACAAATTGTATTTAAATCTCTTCTTATACTGATGTATGTAAGTACTTCAACCGAGAGGTTAATAACTCCAAAAGCTGGATTTGTTAAAACAAAATTTTTTGTTGGTTTTAGTAAGGTTTTTACAGCGCTCGCACCTGCATAAGGTCATACGAGCGTCAAGGGGTGGATGTCAACAGACAAGTCCAAACGGGGAATCAGGCTTACCCTGCTCACAACTCTAGCCTGAACAGCACAAATTCTGCTTCGACTTTTAAGGCACCCCGGAAATAGCAGTTCACATGAGAGTGACAAACATAGAAAAGAAGTAGAGGAAAAATTACGATAGTAAGAATGAGGAAAGAAAAAGCAGCAGTTCCCCCTATGTTGTTCCGGCACAGTATGGGCATGCCATTGATTAAATCAGCCCATTTACAATTCTACTGTGCATAAGAACATATTAATATCCCCCCTTTGGGAAATGCCTAAAGACACTTCAGTCAGTAACACTGCCCTGGGAGAGGGGGGGGGGCAAAAATTTTTCAAGGAAAGGGTCTAAAGAAACATTTACTTACGAATAAAATCTTTCCTCTATTTTCCACAGATTCTACCCAAGATGAGGAAGTTCTTTATGTGGCTTGTGTTGGCAACGCCTATCTCCATTGCTGTCTTGTTTATGACGGGTCTCCAACGTTCCGTGCAAACAAGGTTTACGGTTAATGAACAGACTCAAGCAAAGACAACAAGAAAACCACTAACTCCGCGCATGCCTCCCTATATCTCTGCTTTAAAATACTTCGCCGAAACCGATCCGGACACGTTCAAAGCAACGAAGGACACATTGATTCCTTCTGGATACGGATTGGACACGTTCGTCGACAAAGATGGTTCGGAGCTTCTCGTAGAGAATGGAGTTTTCTTCAGACCATTTCCTTATCGGGAAAATCCTAACAATACGTACTACCGCTCACAATTTGAGCCACACATCCCTTGGGACCCCGACGTTTTTTTCCAGGGCAACAAATCCAGAATGCTGGAATTTGAAAAATTGAAGAGAAGAGATCTTGACGACGAGGCAGGCGGTTCGCTCGGAGTTCTTCCAAAGATAATTATGTGGTGGCAATATAAACCAGCAGCGCCCCCTATCCTGGGACTGGAGCGTCTGAGGTTTTGTCCCGATCTTCCATGTGTTCTTACGTCCAACAGGAATTACTCAAAACAGAGCTCTGCCATGCTTGTAAACAGTGAGTAGTATCTTACATAAAGTTCTTTAATAGCTCGTCCAACACAAAAACATAATTGCATTTTATGAATAACTTTTGATTCCATTCACGCTGAGCCTTCAGATTTTCGATGTTATGACAATCCTGATTTTTTTTTTTGGGGGGGGGGTGTTCAAGCAATATTTTTTCAACGTTATAGGTTGAAGTGAAAGGGGGCTTCTGCTCGGCATGGGTGTGTTTTTTTATTGCCATCTATCTGAAGTTGAAAACAAACATGTTTAAAATACAGTTTTGAAATGTATTTCATTATAGCTCTTACTTTACTTTGGTTCAAACAAGCGACACGCCCTTTTGAATTGGCAAATGATAATTGGAACGTTCCAAAATCAAAAGACTGCTACCAAACAGGGAGCCATATTATAGATATAGGGGAAAAAAGAAACACTTTCTCTTATACCTTTATTTTACAAAGTATGACAACATGGGTTGTTGTGAACTTTGCGTGTGATGTAAGTCATCGCATTTTTTAAACTTAATAACTTGTCATTTAACAAAGACAAATAGGAAACTTATTATTATAGCTTATTGATACTGTCCGCAACCATTTGCTTACTACAGTTAATCAAGACAAATTGATACTCGATTACTGGTAAAAAGGTTAATATAGATTGTGGAACGCAGGCAAAAATATCTACAGAAATAAAAACATGATGTTTTTGAGTTGGATGAGCTATAAGTTGACGTCTTCCTTCTTCATCTTCACCGTCACCTATCCAGTTGTCTAGCTGGCTTTTGGGGCGCCTCTGCAGGTTACGCAACCAGCGTCTTTATGATAATGATAATGATAAATGACATTTATATAGCGCTCAACCACAATTAAAGTACACAGGCTCTGGGCGCTTTACAATACAGTACAACATAGGCTACAACCGTAACATAAAACGTTGTGTTCTGACTAAAAGAAATCACTCCAAATATTCACCTTATTAATTTAAAAACAGATTCTCCTTCCACTCCTCTCGGTTCTACAGTCTGCAGGGGTAATAATAATTGTAAACGGCACAAAGCAAGCTGTTGAACGTGGTTATGCGCTTTATAGATGTAATTATTACAATGTATTGTCAAAATCTAGGTCATCAAACTGTGTCCAGGAAGTGCACTGGAAATTACACTGTACCTTCTTCACACGACTTACACATTCCGTCTGCCTGTACTCAATCCATACTGCCAATTTTGATTAATTAGATTTAGTCGGTGTCAGCCAGAATTTCCTCCATGGAGGGGTAAAATAAAAAGCTACCATTTTGGCACAATACAACCAATTTGACCCGTGACCTTGAAAAACGAACGTGTGCACTACTGATGGTCACAGTGGAATTAAGTTGAATTTGATAGTATTGTGCCAAAATGGTAGTTTTTGCCCCTACTGTGACGAAAAATCTGGCTGGCCGCGATTCAATCAAAAGAAATTGGTCGCTTTTAATTCCAAGGGGGCTATCCGGAAAAATGCTGCTTTGAGAAAATCGAAGGTAGAGTTGTTGGACCCATATTCAGTTTCTTTAAAAGACAAGGAGCGTTTTCTCTACAACCAAACAAATATATACACACAAATGAAACCAAACTTCTCCTATAGGTAGGGCAATGCCCACTTTTGGTATACGTCGAGATTTCTGGAAACACCCAAAATCTGGGTTAGCCCGCTTGTCCGTAAAAGTGACCAATTATTAGTATGTATTAAGTACGGGCATTTTTACTACTATTCGCTTTAGTAAGAAGAAACAAAAGTCATGTCCTCCCAAGAGAAAAACTGTTCATTGAACGTGAAGAAGTCAAGATAAAAGGCTATTTGTATTACCTGTATTACCTGTCCTGGGCAATAACGTCATTGCACACCGGACAGGTCCATAAGTGCTCAGTTCCCCCCAGCACCAAAGCCCGCAAGGTATCCGTACTGAT